ATAAGATACATATTTGAAAATATTGTAAAATAATAAGTTGTTCATTGTACATTATTAATCACATAAAACTTCTTTGTACACCATGTTTGATGTGTAGATTCCATCATTATCAAACGTTTTTTCCTCTAGAAAAAAAAAACATACAATTGGTGAAGTTCTTTATATGGTTTAGCTAATAAAATTTAAGACAGTTTAGCTACAACAGATTACAAAATTTCAAAATCAAGGTTCACATTCAACAGCAAATTAAAAGAAAAAGACTTTATCCCTAATTTACACAGTTTGAGACAGAAGAAAGAAAATGAGAGAAGGAATAAGCACCCGCAGTCGTCTCACGGAATAGTAGTTGCCTCTTATTCCTTGCATTTGCATGGAATGTTCTTTCTTTTCTTCTCTTTTACGAGAATTATAATTGATGTGGGAATAAGTGATGAAAGAACATGTATATAAAGGAAAATATATTATCATGGAATGTGAAAAAAATAATCAAATAATTAAATCATACAAAAATTATGCAAAAATCGTCTCCAAGTTGAAAGAGATTTGAAATTATGTTTGTCTTGCTTTTCCAAGTGGTATGTTTTAGCTTGGAGCATTGCTTTTTTAATTCCTGTTCATATAATTGTTCAAAATTAAAACAAATGAGATGTAAATTGCAAAACAATATACATGAAACATTTATTATATATGCATCACATCTGATTCATGCAATTGACATAAAAACAAAAATTGAAGTATAATTCAAACAGAGAGCAACCAAACACACCTGCTTATAACGATTCAAGGAATTAGGATTGACAAAGTTATCGTCAAAAAACATAGAAACAATCTTGTAACGCCCCATTTATTTAAATAAATAAATAAATGTAAGTCCCGGACTGAATTGCGAAGAATTTTAGATGTCGAGGGTTAAAAGTGTAAATTCCAGATTAGTTTTGTAAGTATTTATGAAGGCAGGGAGTAAATGGTAATTTATGGGACTTCATTTGAAGAGATTATGGAAGATAGGGGGTTGTTTGGTAATTTTCATACCCAAAATGTAAAGGATTTAATGCTGAGGGTTCATTTGGTAATAATTGGATTGAATTTGAAAGAAAAGGGAAGGGGGAGGGACTGATTTTGTTATTATGGCATAATGTTTTGAGGGATCAGGTATATAGCTTAAAATGTAACCCTAACCCTAGGGAGTGTTATACTCAGCCGCCGACTTCACTCTCTTGTGCCCTCCTCCAGCCGCCACCCGACTCATTCACGTTTTCCGGCCAGACGAAGACCCGGCGGCCGCCAGCGTCCATGCCGTCGGCCCGAGCCACACTCCGGATGTCGCCACAGCCTCACTACCGATGAAGACGAGGTTGTGTCGCAACCCACCTCGCTACCGATGAAGAATCGATCGCTGCTTCTTTCTCGCCATTCCTTTCTTCTTGTTCGCTCCATCCGCCGCTGTCGGCTCGCCCCTGCTTGCTCCGGTCAACGTCGCCACCCAAAAGGGGTTGTCATGTTCGTGTGGGTGGGACTTCTGTCGTGTAGGGCCGTGAGGAACCACCATGGCAGTCGGCCATGGTGGCTACTACCGTCAAATGCCGCCGTCAAACCCCCCATTTCATGATTGATGAAGAACTGCTCGGTGGGTGTTCGCTATCTCGTTGTGATCGTGACCTTCTGCCGCTGTAGCGCCGCCGATGACACCACTGCCGCCTTTCGTTGCCACCAGCCACTGTGGAAGGTGGCTGTGTGCGTGTTTTACTATGTGTAGGTGTGTGTGGTTGTATTTTATTAGTTGTATGTTTGTTGGGGGTTTTGGGTAGCCGGAGTCCACAGAAGAGCCACCGCCACCACGAGCCACCGTCGGCCGTCATGGTGTGGCTGTGTGTGTGTGTGTATTAGTTAGTGTGTGTATTATTTAGTGTGTGTATTTTGGATAAAAGCCTTGTAATTGTAATTAGCATGAAATAATGAAAACAATAATAGTAACCACCACCGTAAGGTGGTGGCCGCCGCCGCGAGCCGCCATTGACCACCACTACCCGGGGTGGTAGTGGGTGGTGCCCCTCAAGCAAAACCCTAATGGACCTAGCAAGACCCTAATGGGCTTAAAGATTTATTTTGGGCCTATTGGGCCACGTTTGGGTGAGGAACCCTAATTAGGGTTTAGAAAACCCTAATTGTGAGTATTTGGGCCTTAGACTTATTGGACCCACTTTTGGGCCATTGAGATGGGATTATGTATTAGGCCTAATCACTCTATCTCATGTATATAGTAGAGCAAAGGACTTAATGGATTAAGTCCTTGATGGGTTAAGTAAGAAACACTTAACCCTAATCGTCATTTTATGTGAAACCCTAGTTTCACTTGGGCCTTGAGTTGGGCCTTTCGATTGGGTTTTGGTAATTGGTTTATTAATGGGCCATCCAAGAATAATTAAATGGACTAGAGTAATTAGTTGGGCTTTAGGATAAGGCCCATATGAAGGATTGGGCCCAATTTGGAAAGTTGGGCCATATGTTGGGCTTTGATCCCTAGTTGACTTTGGGCCTATAGATTGGGCCTTGGGCTTGGGTAAGCCAAGCTAGGGTTAATATAGTAATTATCCAAAGTATGCATTTATAGTTATGTGTTAGAACCCAATTAGTAATTGGGTGTTATTTTGGTGTTGACAGTTCGGGAATCTGTCATCCAGCAGTTGGGGTTGAGTCTGCAGGACTTCAGCAGTGTGGGATTGAGTCTACGGGACTTCAGCAGTGTGAGGTGAGTTTCCTTTCAGTAGGAACGGGTCTACGGCCACAATGCCGGCCCGTTTAGGTTAGCAGTAGTTCCGGACTTTAGTTCGATGCAGTAGTTCAGTATGCTTGGTGTCTTTGTGATACATGCATGGTATGTGTTATGTGTTCCGGACTATGGTCCGATGCAGTATGCAGTATCTGTGTTTATGCTAGTAGTTATGATTATGTTATGCTATGTTCAGTCAGTTCCAGACTTCGGTCTGATGCAGTAGTTCAGTGTGCTTGATGTCTTTGTGATTCAAGTATGACTGTGTGTTATGTGTTCCGGACTTCGGTCCGATGCAGTATGCAGTATCTGTGTTTATGCTAGTAGTTATGATTATGCTATGCTATGTTCAGTCAGTTCCGGACTTCGGTCCGATGCAGAGGGCAAGGCCCTGGTTAGTTCCGGACTTCGGTCCGATGCAGTTTCCGGACTTCGGTCCGATGCAGAGGGCAAGGCCCTGGTTAGTTCCGGACTTTGGTCCGATGCAGTTTCCGGACTTCGGTCCGATGTAGAGGGCAAGGCCCTGGTTAGTTCCAGACTTCAGTCTGATGCAGTTTCCGGACTACGGTCCGATGCAGTGGGCGAGGCCCAGTATGTGCTTTATATGTTATTGTCTGGTATGTGGTAGTTGGGGAGACTCACTAAGCTTCGTGCTTACAGTTTTCAGTTTTGGTTTCAGGTACTCAGTTCTCAAAAGAGGAGCTCGGAAAGATTGCAGTGCATACACCATTTGTTCAGCCTGGGATGTTTATACTCTGATATATTTGACAGTTGTCATGATATTTTGAGATACATAGTTTATGATTCTTATATGACGTTTGATGAATATGGTTTTATTACTGATTTAAAACGAAATTTTCAGACTGTGTTTTTGGGATGTTACAAAATTGAACAAAAATCCACACATTTTATGAAACATTGAACAAATCCATAAAAGGGAAAACAAAAAACAAAGTAAGAACATGAAGAAATTCTTGAACTACCCACCTCGATCCAGTCATTGGCAGCAACTACGTGAAGAGCAGAATGACGATCACTGATAACCGTTTGTTGAATAAGATCGGGATCTCTCTCCAAAACACTCCTTACAGACAGTAAAATAGTTGAAGAACTATCAGAAATTTGCCTATATTAATCAGAACCGAGCAGTATGTGTGCTTGGAGAGATTAATTAAGTTGGAATACTCTCGTCATTCATCAGGACTTGTTGGATTACTTTATTGTGTTGGATAGGCTGCATCAAGAAGAAATGTAAACACCAAAACCCTTCCCCTTCATGGAAATGACCTGTCTTTGGAGGCAGTAATAACAACAAGAAGCAATTTAGAACAAGTGTACCCAAAACTACATTTACAAATTACAAGCATGACAATTATCTCAGTTTTAGATCAATTCTTATTGATTAAAACCCAAAATTGAAAAGAAGAAAGTTTATTTTACCAAAAGTCGTATCATGATTGAAAGCTTTCAGTAGATGATAGTAATGGGGTTTTGGTTTTATATGTCAACAATGGGATAGAAATTGGGAGAAAGGGGAATAATTTTCCAGAAGACGACAACGACCATCGCAGGAGGACATTCCTCTCCTCCGTCGTCATCATCATCATCACCATCGAGTCTGGATTTAGTGTTTCAAAAGTTCGATCTTCATTACCATTTCCTTGAGCAGAGACATAGGTACACCATCTGAACCTTTTTTTGTCATTGAGCAGGTGGCAATTGTGGTTTAGAGAGAGAGAGAGAGAGAGAGAGAGAGAGAGAGAGAGAGAGGTGCGATGACATTGGCTAGATTAAGGTTTGAAAAGTTGGATATTCATTACATTTTTCCTGAAAAGAAACACATGTGCGATTGTAGTTTTAAGAAGAGAAACAGAGGTAGAAAAGATTAATGGAGGAAAGGATGGCTGGTGACCTATTCTAGGTTGTAGGGGCAGCGTGAGGAGGGTGGTGGTACCGGAGGGTTGCCGGAAACTGGAGATCGTAAGGAGAGAGACAGAAGAGATGTAGGTTTGAGGGCATTGAAGGTGTATAGAGGAGGTTAGGGTCTAGTGCTTTCAAGATTCAGAGATAGCGTGAAGATACGATGAGGTACATTGTCAGATGTAAAGCTTAAAAAGGTTGTATGTTATGTTGTAATGGGTATACCTCTTAAATTTCAAAAAATAGCTAAAATGATTTATATAATGCTAAAGATAAAGATAAACAATTCCAAACACCCCTGGAAATGACCATAAAATTCAAGACAAAATAACATCACACCTTTTATTTCTATTGATAATTGATAATAAGATTACAGGCGATGTTTACTAGAAATACACACATACAAAATCTTAATTTATGAATGAAGAGATCTCCAAGAGTTTATTGTGGGATTCCAATCTCAACAACAAAATCAAACCCTCGATGGGTTTCACTCCAAAATCAAAACCATTTGATGCAAACTTCAAACATCACTTTTGCCATCCGATCGCCTCTCACACAACAGAAAGCAGTGATGAAGCAGTACCGCGGATTACGTGGCGCCGGTGAGCGGATAAACTACTATCGCCGTCGGATCCACAGTAATTTCTGACGGCGGTAAGTTCGTATGGTGACGTGTCGGTAGCAAGCCACTGTTCAACCGTGAATGTCTGTTGTGCGCAGGGGATGTGTGCTCCGGTAGTCGTTACCTCAATGTAATTACAATACCAACCATGGTGAGCCCCGGTGCCGTCGGAGGTGATGTTCATCTCACACGGTGCTCCGGTCAAACAAGGGCCTCTTCCACTGAAAATGTCCAGATTGCTCCTCTCGAAATAGTTGTACCCAGGACCCATCAAACCACCCCAAGCTTCTAGATTGTTGATCCTGATGCCATAGCCGGCGGCGTCGTATAGTGTTAACGTCATGTTGGAATCTGTTCCGGCTTTAAGTATCGATCCAGTTCTGACGTAAATGGTGTACACACAATCCGGATCAGACTGCAATTATTCGAAGAAGGTTAATAAGATTTTAAATGTTTTGAATGAATGCAGACAGGAATAGGAGCTTACAGATCTGACGACGGCGGCGATGATGAAGACGATGAGGAGATTGAAGAACAAACGGTTGACTTTAGGAGCCATGGTTGCCTGGTTGGTAATGGTGCCGATGGGCAGATAGATCTGTGATGAATGGGGGAGTGGAGCGGGTGATATATGATATGGATGAAAATGAGGACATAGTGGTAGGGCCGGTCAAACCACGTGATACGTATATTTCCATCATACGTTGAGTTTGCAACCGGTCGAACCGGACCCGACCGTACCCGACATAAAATTTGATTTTAAATGAAGATATTAGAGGGATAATAATTGATGAGCAAAGGAACCGATTCGGTTGCAACCGGGCCGAACGGACCCGACCCGGGAACCGAATTTGGTGGAAATTAGGAACCGAACCGGACCGCCGGTTCTACCGGTTCCGGTTCTGGTTCCTACCGGTTCTTGTCGTGTCTTCAATATTGGAACCGGTCCTCGAGAAATATCAACATATGTTTCCGGTTTTTGGCGGTTTTACCGGTTCCGGTTCCTACCAGTTCCCGACTCCAAAAATCGACAGTAACATAGTATCCGTCCCGGCCCGACCAGTTCCATCGGGTTTTGGTTCCGGTTCCGGCCGGTTCCCCGGTCCATATGCTCATCCCTAATTGATGTCTTTTGCCATTCTCAAATTAAACGAATAAATTATAAAATAAAATATATAGTTAAAAGATACGATAAAATATATAAAAGAGAAATTAAATACCGTTATATTTTTTCTTTCTACTCATTCTTCTATCACTTTAAAATGATAACAAATGTAACAAAAAATTATTAATTATATTAAATATGACAGTTGTCATAATATTAAGTGTGTAAGAATATATATATATATATATATATATATATATATATATATATATATATATATATATATATATACTAGTAGTGTACACGCGCGACGCGGCGGTGCGAGATAGTTCATTTCGGCAGGTAGTTTTCATACGGCGATTAGTTTCCTTTTCATGTTAGATAGTTCGTTTCAGGTTTTTGGTGAATTGTTTTGTGTCGGATAGTTCTTTTCGTCGAATTGTTTATAGCTAAGTACATAGGTGTGGGGCATAATAATTTCCTATTTCCTGTCATTTATTGTTCTGGTTTTTATTTTACGATTAAATTAAATGTAAAACAATGTGTAAAACTGTATATATTATAACATAATCACAAATTATATAACTTTTTTATAATAATAAAATTGGATTAGAGATACATAATGTTAATTAACACCATTTGTTTATATAATTTATAAATTCGAATTAATTTATTATTAACTAATACCATTTATAAATTCAATTAAAAAAACACATTCCTATGGTGCTCATGTAATAAAAAAACATTAAGTTTAGTTACATGCGTTATCAAAACATTTCTATCATTATCTAGAATTAACATTCTCACATAATTATTATGTGAAATCTCCTAATATTGTTTTCTTTCGTACCTACGTAGATAAATTATTTTAGTTTAAATTACTATAATTAAATCGTTTCTACACAATAGGGTTGTCACATATAAACAATTATTAAATCATTTAATATATTAATCAAGTGTGGATTATAATAAAGCATATAACAATTATATCAAAGCCCACATCAATTCGTTAACCCAGTTGAATTGTTTAGCTCACAATAAAATAATTCCAAATTAAATTGTTTAGCCCACATAAATATCAAATAATTCGTGTGCCCTACTTGTGTTTTCATTTTCATTTGCGCAGCCAAAGAATCAAAGGCTAGAACAAGCCTCTTTTTCTTCTCCTTCTTCTTTTCTTGGTTCGATTCTTGACTCCTTAATACGGTTGGTAAAGGTTCGACTGGAGGGCAAGTAATAGGTTGATGGGTTCGGTGGTTGTCGTCGGTTTGTATTCGGAAATGGGTGTTCAACAGGTGAAAGTTCAGTGAAGAAGGAGGTGGTGTTTCACGATGTTGGTTGGCTGTAAAGGTGGCTCTTGGTGAAGGGTGCAACGGTCGAAGAATATGGGTAGTAGTGAAGATCGTAGGTGCAAGTGCGATTTCCGATGGAAGGACGGTGAAAGCTTTTTCCGGCTATGATTGTAGCTAGATGTGGTGGCGATGTTGAAGGCAGCGATCATGGTAGACAGTTCTTGGTACGGCCAGGAAAAAGTGGTGAAGAAGGTGGTTTCAAGTGCTTGCTTCTTGATGGAAGTTTAAAGGTTGCATAACAGGTAAGAAAGCAGTGGATGGAGATGGATGTGCTGAGACCGTGATTTACTTTCTCATTTTTAATTTAAGTTGAAAATGTTTTTTTTTGTTATGATTTTGGTTCCAAAATCCTCAAATTTTGAAATTTTTCAGATCAAATAAAGAATAGATAAAAACACAGATTTATTATGTATAACAAGTCATTTTTTATTGTAGTTGCGCTCTCTTTTATATAAATCCATAGTTTTTATCAAACTTATAAATTAGAATTAGATCAATTTTTATTCTGAGAGTTTTAGTTAAATGAATCATCTTTTTCAAGTATTGTAAAAATATACGAATAAATACAAACAATAAGATTTGAAATTTGAATTGAGTTGATTTCGATATGAATCAGCACGCAAACACAATAAAAACGCTAAACAGGTAACAATATGTAACAACTAAGAATCAAAACATAACATAATAATCTATTTTAAAGAAAATAGTTACAAAAATGTAGAACATCATAAAAGTGCACTACCAAATAATGCTACAAAAACATAAAAACCACTCACTAATAATAATGTTACAGAAAAAATAAAAAAATGATACTGAAATTTAGATGTCGATGATCAAGTCATTTTACTGGATTTATGGTTGTTGCAAACTTCATATCCTAGTTCTAAGATTGATGCAATCTTCCTGAACCTTTATTTCTGTTGGATTCAAACGTATTTTCACTTTTGATTGAATTTTAAGTTGAGACATATTATATAGGAAGATAAAATGGTTTTGTGTTTGTTTGGTTGTTAATTTATATCCATTGATTACTTTTTAAACATTCAATATGTTTCTATCCATTAGATTAAAAGAGCAATCCATGTGAAGTGGGTGTCTTGATTTTTATTGGTTGAATATTTTTGCCATGTTGGCAATCCAAAGCAAAAAAGAGAACACGTGTTTAGCTAAGTGTATATATTCTTATGCATTTAAGTGTTGTACATTATGCAATACAATGTGTCTTTAAGACTTTTTTTAAGAGATGTTTTATTTTGTTGTACCTCATGCTTAAAAAATTGTTTTTAAGACTTGAATATGTATGCTTTATAATATAGTAAAGATATATATATATATATATATATATATATATATATATATATATATATATATATGGCTAGGTTAATTTGTTTTTTATATTTATTGTGTGCTAGAATGCACCAATAGAAATTTAGTAAATTAAATAAATATTTAATTAAATAAATATAGATATTAAATGATTTCCATAATTATATGTATATTAAATGATATTCATAATTATAATTCTCTTTTTATGAAAACTAATTAAATCCGTCATTAATGTCAGCAATAACATTCTTTCAGAATGAATTCGCATCTAGGTTTTTATATATGAGTTCGTATTTTGTTTCAGGACTCACTCACTTAAAATACAATAAAGTTGCATGGAATATGAAGAACGAGAGTGTATTCTACTAGAATACACTCTCATTCTGCTGAAATACACTCTCATTCTTCTGGATATGAATTCATTCTGAAAGAATATTATTGTTGACATTAATGACGAATTTAATTAGTTTTCATAAAAATGAGTTATAAGTATGGATAGTATTTAATATACGTATAATTAATATTAAATTCCTATTGGTGCGTCACAGCTAGTTGATAAGTTGGCTTATTTTTCAAGCTTTTTAAATTGTCATGTTTGACAAGCTAAAAACTAGTTGATAAGCTAGCTTTTCAAAACGCTACTTATGTTGTGTTTGCCGCACCACAACTAGCTAATAAGATAACTTATTTTTCAAGTTTTTTTAAAATTGTCATGTCCGCAAACCAAAAAGTAACTGATAACGTAGCTTATAAGCCTCTTTTTAAAAATCTACTTAAACTAGCTTTTCATAAGTTTTTTTCTAAAATTCCCCGAATACACCGTTAACTAATTATAGAAGACATATTTGTGACAACTGGAAAAAATTTCGTCAACGACCGTCACTAGAAACAAATGGTAGCAATAGAGTTTTTCATATTTTGGGAAAATATAATCAGATATGCTATGATTTATAACTTATAAGTAAGAAAAATGTTAATATGATTAGAAATGAATGATCAAAACGTTATACCGCTATTAATAATGGCTAGTGTATTAGAAAAGTACACAGTAACGTGATCCCAATTATATAAACTTCGTAAAAATCTGACTCCAATTGGAGGAGTCATGATTTTATAAAAAGTAAAAATCAACCGCGTTGTTAACGTAATTAACATCAAAATAGTATAAAGAAATTCGTTGAGTTTTGACTGAAGTCATTAAAAGGAAAATCGTATTACTCCGAGAGATAAGATCTTTGAAATGAAAAAGGTCAAAAACGGAGTCTGTATAAAGAAGATACGATAATTGAAAATATATAAAATACGAGTTAAAAATAAAAGTTAAAATTTTACAACGTGACCTTTATGAAAGTTGTAGTGCTCAAGGATATCTACACAAATATATAAAAAGGGTAAGAAATAAGATTCATAAAATGAAGATATAATTTTTTATAGAAAATTTAGTGATGCACGCGAAGTGTGCGCCGTACTCGACATGCACGTCTGACACCCGGATTCGTCGGGATTAGAGAGATGTTGTGACAACCCTAAATTTCACGGCAATAAAAGACCGATTTGTTTATGTTTATTTAAAATAAGAGTATCCTCTTAGAGGAATAATAATATTGCGGAGTTTGTTCCCAAAAACATGATAATGATATTATCAAAGCAATTCCGAAGAAATGTATTTTATTTATTTTAAAACGTTGGGATGTCATCGTCAATACAGAAACATGATCATAGCGAAATCTTACAAGCTTTACAGTAATTAAACTAGTGGCTTAATTGATGGGTTTCATACAAACAATCATATGTGTGCATGCAACCCTAATTGGATCTATGTTTTCTCTATTAGACATACAAGTATTGAACACAAAATAAAAAACC